TGCCGCGGCTCTGGCCTTGCTGTTCGCTCCCTGTCGGCCCGGTGAGGCACATTGGCCTCGGCGGTCCTGGCTGCAGCTCCCCTGCCCACTCTCCACTAGCTTTCAGCCAGTGCTGCTCTCCAGGGGCTCTGCCCCCAAGCTGGTAGAAGGTTTTTAAGTATGGAGGTCCATCCAGGCAAGAGGTCCTCCCACAGTGAAATGATACCTGCAGAGGAGTTGTTTCTGCCTTTCCTGTAAAGTGGCTTTCCACATGGTTGCAGGAAGGGATGTGGTGGCTCAGCAGCTTGTTTTAGTTGTATGACTTAATTCTGACTAGAGATTGAACCAAAATACTTCAAAGATCTGTTATCAAGAGCGCCTAACCTCCGCGTGCCATGCAGCAGAAGTTTGCACTTGTGGTTAGGCTGCGAAAGAGTGCAGCGTCTGCGATGAGGCCTGGAGACAAGGGCATGCTCTGAAATCACTGTCTTGGGCAATTGCGTACTTCTATAACTGAAGTTAACTGCACTGAGACACAGTGTTGCATGCTTGTGTTGGCCAGTCCAACTCAAGAATTGGCAGTCCGTGCAGTGCTCTCCGAGGTTTCCAGGCGTATTTCAGAGCACGTAGGTTACAGTAAGCCAGCACAGACAGCTCTCATAAGCATGTCTGAAAGGAATGATTAATCACCTGCAACTCCAAGGCCAAGGGTGGGTTTCCTGGTGCCTTTTGGGATGTTCCATTTCTCCTCTTGTATAAATGAAAAAAAATATTTCTTACTATCACAATCCCAAAATAGTTGCATTAAATATAAGATCAGTAGAAAATATGCATCTGTGATATTGTTGTCCTGCTCCAAATTAGAGGAAGCACTGGGGAAATAAAACATTCTCAACTGAGTTTGCCAGAGAAGCAAGACTGAGTCACAGCTTTTTTCTAAAGTTACTGCGTTGACTAGCATCCTGTCCTTAGAGGCTAAGGTATTTAAGGAGGGCCTCTGGCAAGCCAAACATTCTCTGGTCATTAACAAAGCAACCTCGTATATGCAGGAGAATCAAGGTTACGTCTTGAATACCCAAAGTCACAGCTGTTAGAAAAAAGGAGGAAATTATGGTTCAGCAAGCAGAGGAAGGACTGTATCTGCGTTCTAAAGCTAAGGGTGATGTGTGCTGTACATCTTGGAGAGCAGCATTCTTTTCTGTTACCGTAAATTTAGGCACCAGATCAAAGCACCTGTGAAATGATCTGGAAGATTTGATACCCCATGTGAAGTGGCCAAGCAAGCAAGCCAAGAATACATTGGTGGAGGAAATACAGTCTCTTTCTGTTAAGTATTCAGAAACAAATTTTCAGTAGATGAATCATAGAATCACAGAATCATAGAATCATTAAGGTTGGAAAAGACCCTTAGGATCATCAAGTCCAACCGTTAACCTAGCACTGCCAAGTCCACCACTAAACCATGTCCTCAAGCACCACGTCTCCCCGTCTTTTATTTTCCTTCCGTGCTGGGGACTCAACTACTTCCCTGGGCAGCCTCGTCCAGTGCCTGACTACCCTTTTGGTGAAGAAGTTTTTTCTTAATAACTGATCTGAACCTCTCTTGGTGCACCTGGAGGCCGTTTCTTCTCATCCTATCACTTGTTACTCAGGAGAAGAGACCGACCCCCACCTCGCTACAACCTCCTTTCGGGTAGTTGTAGAGAGCGTCTCCCCTCAGCCTCCTTTGCTGGAAGCAGCAATCCAATTTTGTCTTTAGTAAAGCATGAAAGAAAAATTAAAACAATGAAGATGCGACACTATATGTATATCTATATCTCCATGTTTAAGAGAATTAAACATGGATTCAAAATTTCTCATCAGCTGAAGAATCAGAGTCTTAGTATTTCAGGTACGTTACTGTAGAGGCTGAGGTTTTTGAAGCAGTATTAGCCTGTCTGTTCTCAGATAGCAGAAGGGTAAGCCAGTATGATTTAAAGCAGATATTGGGTAAGTAAGTGTAACATTTCGGAGCTGGCTGAAAACTAGTCTGAAAATACTTGGCTACAGTCAAGTTTCTCATAGGCCTCTTTTCATGCAGCAGAAAAACTGTGCCATCAGCTCTCAAGAGCTATTATGTTTTTCCAAAATTGTACCCTTACAGAAAAACCTGGAAGGAAATGGCAATTTTTCAAAACCACATTATCAAGGAGCACTGAGTAGCCTTCATAGTAACTTCTGTACTGGGGGGCATGCATAACTTGTCATGCATAAAAATATAAAGGGCAGGCTTTTCAGATGTTGGTGAGTTGTTCTTAAGGGTGATTAAAGGAAATACATCACTATTTTCTACCGAATAAACCAGCAAAAAGTTAAAATTACATTCTTAAAAGCCTAAATTGCCTTCTGAACAGGGCTTGCAGTGGGGTGTACTCGTCATCACTAAGCAGAATTGAGTTAGGTAGCACCCAATCAGCCTGACCTTTGGTTGATTCCCACACTTTAACAAGGTGCCAAGTTTGTGGCAACTGAAGAACTACTGGGGAGTGACTCTGAAGAAAATCCAAGCTGTCTGGAGAGAAGGGAACTGCTGCCACGCTGCTGCCAGGGATGTGGCACTTCAGCACATGAGGATCCCATTGCTATCATGGAAACTGCACATGTGAGAGGCCTAGTTAACCTTACCAGCAGGGCTGTTGGAAGTAGCAGTTGCTCAGCCAACAAGTTGGATTATTGTGTTTTACAGAGCCAAAGCTTTCTGAGAGCCATAATCGTTCTGTTGCTAGTGAGCTGAAATGTAAGGTTAGGAATTCAATTGATGTCCTATTTTTTTTGTAAGAACTGGGTCAAGTGCCAGAACATTTAAGGCAGGGAGTACTTTGAGTCATTGCTATCCCTGGGCAGTCTCCAAGCAGTGATATTTAGTAAGATCTTGAATTAGTAAGCCAGTGAAGAGTAGGTTTGCAAACTTCCAGGAGTTACTGTGTGCTTTTTCTGCCTTGCAGTATCATTTCCCTGAGTCTCTATCTGCTGGTTCTCAGAGATGATCTCTGTTCAGGTCGGTGTTAGGAGAACAAGGAACCTACAGAATCCAAATTCAGCACAAAAAGTAGCCTGCCTGGGCAGGTGCATACATAATAAATGCAGAACCAGGCTAGTGATGGGATGAAACCCGATGGAACTGCACATATGTACTTACTTGCACATATGTGGGGTGGATTAGTAATTACCGGGTGTGAAAGGTTGGGTCCTCTGTGGACTGAATAACCTGAACCACTGCGAAGTGATCTCACCCAATGCTGCCTAAATTGTCTTCTGCATGCTGATGTTGTGAACAAGAACAGAAATACTCCTCTAAGCATACAAACATTCCAGCACCCAGTGTGTGACTCCTACAGCATGCTGCAGGCTGAACTGAAATTATACCCTTGTGGATCTGAATCTTTGAACACCTTGGATAAGCTAGCTTTAATACAAAGCATTTTTGAGAAAACCAGTTCTCATCTGGGAAGCCTGATTTAAAGTTTGATCAATTCCAAATGACTGCTGTTGCAAGATGATTTCTCTCCAAATACAAGACTATTGTATTCTCAGTTAACCAGCTGCGCAGTTCCTTACAGTAGTGGAGTTGAAGGGGGGGAGGGTATTCAATAGCATGCTTCAAAGTACCATAGCATCAGGAGTATTTTTAGGTATCCTGAAATTGCTATTAAGTAT